AAAAAAAAAAAAAAAAAAACCTTTGTAACCATATCTATATTTTTTCGTCATCGGTTAAAAAGTCATTTTACTATCCTGGAGAAGTAAAGAAAATGAAAATACCCCTTGACACTTCTTTAATAACCAATGAATTATTGAAAAAGATTCGAATTACCCTCCAAACCAAGGCATCCCATTTTTTTATTCAAATAACAAAAACATAATTCAGCTGTCATAATAAATAGTCTCTTGTATACTTATAATGATCTCTACAGTGTCTTGGCAACTCTCTTTACTGTTTCTGTTAAAACAAGTGGACCTCAACGGAGACCACGGAGTGTGTATTCGGGGACGTATAACGCACACGGCGTCGGGAACTTGCTGCCTGATTAATTTGGCGCCAGTGGATATTGGAATGCCTCCGGTCTTTTAACTTTTCCCACGTACTTGGCTTTTTCTTGCTTTTCGTTTGATCTCCAAAGACAGCCACCTGTTTCCATTGGTCGAACATATTCCTTATGAACACATCAATTTAAGAACAATGAACTACCGATCAAGAAGAGATTATCCAGGAGAAAAAGAGAGGAGATTATCTTAATTATCACACGGTCTGCAAGTAGTAAATATATTCTCTTTTTTTTCTGGTGTTAGTAAATAATTGATCACAAGGACCTTTGGATGAACGGGTGCGGGAAGTTCAAGCCCATGAACGCAAGCCAGCCTGTCAGAACTAGAATCTTGAACTGGAGCCGTGATTAGGGTATGTTAAAGCATAGCGTCCAGGAAGTGTTCATTTTAACAAGTAAAAGAGAACTTAATTCAACCCCAGAAGCTGGCACTCAATAGCGTCTTTATGAGGTCTGATAATGATGTGTTAATGGACAAGTAGGGTAAATGAGGTCCAATAATGTGACACATTGATGTCTACAGCTTTCACGAAACCTTTTCCTCTTTATTTTGAATGGATGCCTATCCAGATAACTTTAAAAATGGCCCCCCATGTTGCCCTACCTGCAAGGTAACCCCCCACTCTACTCATGATGCCTTTGTTGTGGGGTTGCTGCTGGGAGGGATTTTGGGGTCATTTATACCTGCCAAACAGCACCACCGCAGGATCTGTGGAGTGTTTTAAGCACCCATGTTAGCTTAATAAAGAAGAATGGACATGTTTAGTGTAGGTCTAGATCATGCATGCGATGGCGGATCTAGAAAAAGTCTCTCGAAAGGAGAAACGATCAGTGACAAAAGTCAACCCTCTTGCTCCACCATTGAAGTATACATGTCCACTGTAATAGCCTGGGAAATATAAACATGAAAGTACATGACCATGAAGCGTTGTAAACAAGAAATTTGATCGTTCGTTCATAGGCCGCCTATAAGCATTTCCCTCGAGATCCCCTTCTGTTGACGACAAGGATATTTTGGAGTGGATTTGTGACGCAGGAACCTATAAATATTAACAAGATGTTAATGGGAACTCTCACCAGAAATTATATTCTTTAAATAGTGGATCGTAGTGTATAGAACAAATCTACTTACCGATTGAACCATAACAGGCTTTCAGCGATGCTGCGAACAGGGATTCATGAAATAAGGAAATACTGGATATTGCTGTTTCGAGCTCTCTGGGAGTCTTTTCCTTCCAAGATTGCTTTTTTTTTTATTAATATATAAAATAATAATTTTTTATTTTAAGAAACTCTAAAAAAATATTAATTTAAAACTAAATTAAAAAAACACAGCAACACCAGATAATTTATTTGTCTTGATAATAAATGCATCATCTGAATATATGCACTGTTTTCGTGCAATTTTTTCCAGTGACAGCACATCTCCAAACCAGGGCAGGAAATCTTTGTTGAAAGTCCTCCCACCTTTCCCTTGTCCTCCTTTCAATCAAGCCGAAGATAATATTCCTCCCTCTTGAAATATTGGTCCAGGGCGTAAAACGGCACACGTTTTATTTTATTTTAAAAGCGTAAAAAACTGTGAAAAAATAATTTACGGAGAATGAAATAATCTGTATACTGTATACTTTATTGAATTCAACAGGACAGCTGAAAATTTCTAAGCTGCTAAGCATGTTTTTAAGACAACAGATCGATGGTTTCTCCAGTGTCACGCGAGAGCTTACGAATCAATTTTTTTTTTTTAGATTAATGGGAATGCTGATTCAGATTGCGTTTGTCATAATTAATTTTATAATTTTTAAAATTAACAATTATATAAATTTGTAATAATTATTATATTAATAATTAAAAAATAGAACCTAAAATTACAGAAAAAATAAATTTTTATCACTTAATCACGTGACTAGTAACTAAATGATTATAACATGGTATCTGATATGATAGCTGCAAGTTTTCCCATCATTATCGAATTAAGAATTTAAATTATCAAAATAATGGTTGATCGGTTGAATTTATTAACAATTTATATATAATTACCAGACTGATCTAGCGACGTGACAATTATCTTTACATTTTATATTTACTGATGTGTTTGCTAGCATATTACAAAATCAGAATTCAAATGCCAGGTAGTCATATCTTCTTCTTCTTTTTTTTAAATAAAATAGATTAAGTTATTGTTTGATATTGTAGTATAATTATGTTTTTTATTTAAAATCAATTTTTTTGACTTGTCTATATTTTTAAAAATAAAAAATATTATTTTGATATATTTTTAAATAAAATATACTTTACAAATAATCATTATCATAATATCAAATATCATTTGAAATAGATTGACTAATGAGTTAACTTTTAAAATTCAAAATTTAGTGTCTATTTAAATTATATTTTTAATTAAATCTAGTAAAATATTAACTAAGATGATTAAATGAGTTTTTAATTATGTAGACACTAGATGAACTCGAGGGATGAATACCATCAAAAATATTTAATTAATAAAAATGAATCAAATAATTTATATCCATAGAAAAGTTAAACACTAAATTAAATTTAATAACTATGGAAATAATAATGTTTATTTATTATTATTTATTTTTCTTTTGAGAGGCAACAACATGACAGTACGTGTGAGGAATCAGGATACGAGGAGATGGATCTATTTTCCACATAAGACTGCGAAGAAGGGAGAAAAGAAAGTTACGTTTTCTCAAGAGAGAGAAACATCTCGCGAGAAACGTTTCTACAGTTGCTCATAAAATAATAAACACGTAGGACGGGGGTAGAAGAAGAAGAACAGCAATTAAAGATCAGGATTGAATTAAAGAAAGAAAAAAAGCACAGTGAGGGTGAGTGAGTAGTAAAAAATAATAATAAAAAAAAAACTAGGAAAAGAAGCGTGTTCGATCCATTGACACTGATAGAAGCAGAAAAGAAGAGAGAGAGAGGGGGAGAGAGCGGTTCAAAAGTTTCAACACAAATCAAATGGGTCATCAAAATCATGAAGACAAAGTGCTGCTCTTCTCTTCTTTGCCGAGATTTCCGCTTCCTCTCTTTCTTTAATCTTACTTCTTCATTTCTTATCCTACGCTACTGTCTCTCTCTCTCTCCTTCTCTCTGTAATTACACAAGGTCCTTTTGTTTCCATCTACCCACTTCTTTCTTACTTTTATTTTGCTTTTTTTTTTCCCCTTGTCTAGGAAGTTAATCTTGTGGTTTGAGTTTGAGGGTTTCAATTTCTGTATGCCTAGTAAGAAAATGTAGGAAGCGCCAGTGCTTTTCGTCTTAGATTCTGGATGTTATTGCTTTATTGATTTTTATTAACTTCTAGATTTGTCTGGTTTCGACATTTTGAGTTCTGAATTCCTGCTTGTTTACCAGAAAAAATGTGAATGGTGAGTGATTAAGGATCTGAAGTTTTTTTTTTTGCTTTTTTGAAACAGTGTTGAAATAATGTGTAGTTTATTTGTATTTCTATTTTCTGATGGTTGTATTTGAATTGCAATATCTGCTTTTAGTTGTGTTTTATCGGTGAGAGAATTTTAGGAAGGGGCTGGCCTAAAATATTTTGAATCAGTGAAGAAACTCAAGTTGGTTGGTATTTCTTAGTAATACCAATTAGGATAATCATGTAGGTAGATTGCTGATTTGAGGATTGGCTTTTATCTTGCCTAGTGGTGTGAAAGTTGTTGAGCGATGCAACATTTGTTTGCTGCTTTTATGTTTAAGGTTTAGAACTCTATGGGTGGTTTGTTAATGAATCGAGGGCTATTCTATACTGATTTTGAGAAACGAAAGAAGTGACGCAGAAATTTCAGTTGCAAGGCAGGCGTCCTATGCTTTTGAGATAATGATCCCTGGGAGATTTTGAGTTATGTTACTTTCTAAAGTTTTTAAATGTATGCTGGTTGCATTTGATCGTCAATCTCTGAACGGATCTTCAGTTTATTTCATTACATTACTTTCCTCTCCTGCCACCCGGTGCATTTCTTCTAATGTTCTATTACATATGTTTGCAGTTCCAATTTATTGCAATTGCTTGGAGATAAGTCTGAGAAGAATGCAATGATGATTATGTCAAGCTTGTTTGATGCTGTTTGCATTTTTTTAATGCAGAGGAA